GCTGAAGGGGAGAAAGAGACAGAGAGACAGAGAATCTTCAGCTAGTTCCACACTCATCCAAGAGCCTGATGCAGAGCCCGATGTGGGCCCACACACGGCCCTGGGATCACAGCCTGAGCTGAAATCCAGACTCAGACACTCAGCCCGTTGAGTCACCGAGGTGCGCCCCCCCCCCCTTTTAATTCGTATTGGCTCTTTTTCTTTCCAATATCTGTGATTTTTTCTGCATGCCACTCACTGGCCACTGTGTGAGGAGGGCCCAGGCCTTCCGCAGGGTGAGGGACAGAGGCCCTGCTGGCCGGCGAGCTGGTCCAGGAGGAGGGAGCCTCGGGTTGTAGTCGCACTGCTCTGATATTGCAGCCACCAGCCCCGCTGACTGTCCTCTTACTGGGTGAGGCCCACCAGGGGAGGTGTGGCTGGGCCTTCTGCCCTCCAGCCTGGGAGCCAGGGACCCACGGATGGACGCCTGGACAGACTACATTTGCAGAGCAAGGAGACAACCAAATGCCTCGGCCAATGAGAGCTCCAGGCTTTCCACCTGGCTCCTTCTGCTCACCACGCATGGCGTTATGAGTCACGTATGAGAAAGGATCAGCCCTCTAGGACTTCTGGGCTCATACTTGGAGGGTAAAATTCATAAATTCTCTGGCCCCGGCACACGAACGGCCTGGCGGTGCTGAGCTGGGCAGGGAGGGGTGCCGCTGTGCACACACGGGTCCCTTTCCTAGGGAACAGAGAATGGAGGAGACAGCGGGCTGAGATGGGGACAGGGCCCGTCCCGGTGAGTATGGAAGCCTGGGGATGCTGGCTGAGCCTCCCCGAGAGAAGAATCTTCTAGAACTCTAGGCCCCTAGTGGGTAGCTTAGCTGGGCCAGGTAAGGCAGCAGCTCGTTAACATGGCTGCTGTGAAAACACAGCGTGCTTCTAATAAGTGTCCGGGACAAGGGGAAACAGTGTCTGGGTTCCTGTTTAAGGGATGCCTAGCAACAGCTGAATTTTCTTTGACTAACAAAGTTTTAAAGCCTGGTTCCTGATGGGCAGGTAGCTGACGACGTCTAGTCGGTCATGCTACACGGTAAGAGCGAGCGAGCCCCACAGGGGCCCCCGCCTGCCCGAGCCGGCCCCCTGGAGGGTGTCAGGGACCAGGGGAGAGAAAGGGTCGTGGCCCCGGGTGACGCAGAACCTGACACGTCGTCTTCCCACTTCCCTCTGCTTTCACAGGAGCCCAGCTCCCTCGTTCAGCCCACAGTCTGGGCCCAGACCCACCTTTGCCTGTCTCTGTGCCTGGCAACTTAGAGCCCCTGTGCCACCGCGACACCCTGCCCAGGCCCGGTGTCTCCCCCACGGGGCCCACGGCCCGTGCCCGGGCCAGAGGTAGAGGGGCCAGGACCACCAGGCTCTAGGGAACTTGGGGTCTGCAGAGCGGGCAGGTGCAGGGGGCTGGACACAGTGAGGGGGCACACTGGCTACTGCCCGCCCCCCAGCACCAGCCCTCTCCAGTGCCACCACCTGCCCCTGCAGACCGTTCCCACTCCCGGCTGGGAGGCTTTCCTGTTTCACTCTGTGCCTCCTGCCTGGAAAGACCCCTCAAGGCCTGGCCCCAGGACTCCCGGGTCCCAGGAGGGGCCTCTCCCACTCTGCCCCCCTCCTCTCCCTCCTCTCCCACTCTGCTGCTCCCCTTTGGATCTGGAAGAGTGAGGGACAAACTCAGAGAAGGATCCGGAAGTGTCCGGAACAAGGGGAAACAATGTTTGGGCACCAGGCAGGGTAAGGATGGGGAGGGGCAGTGGGAGAGCCCCCGGGGGAACACAGCGGCCACCTGACACTTCTTACTCTGGATGGGGGGGGGGGGGGGGGAAGGGGGGCCAAGTTCCAGTGAGGCGGGGGTGGAGGGGGCAGGGGATGGGAAGGGGCTGCAGGGGTAGCTGCCCTGCCGCTTAAGTGTCACTGAATAGTCCCCCAGGGCAGAGCTGCCCTGAGAATCTGCAGGTGGGTCCCAGTCCCTGAGCATCCTCCTCACTCAGCCCTGCGTCCTGAGCTCAGGGCCCCACCGGCCGCCCTGCCCCCGGGCACCACGCAGAACCCGATGGGACCCTGCTGCCGGCCCACAGGGGAGTAGTTCCTCCAGAGGCTTAACAAGTCGGGAAAAAGAAGAGACAGACCTACAGGGAGCAGACGCTGCTGGCCCTGGGTGCTGCCGGTTTTCCCCGACGTGACCCAGCCGCGGGCTGCAGAGTGCGCCCGAGGGTCTCGGCCCAGGCGGGGCGGCCCGACGCGGCCCGTGCGCTGTGCTGCCTCTGGGCCGGAGCCAAATACAAACAGAAAAGGCGACTGATACAGAAGAGCCCAGTCAGCTGGAACATGCCTGTCCTTTATCTGGCGCCCAGACCGGCCGGGGGGCGCCCCCCCCACCCTGCCCCCGAGATCCGTGACGGGAATGCGCCTTAAAACCCTCAGCGCCTGGATCACCAGTGGTGAGGACCGGAGGAACCCTGCAGTCCCACAGCGGCCCCGCGCCACGGTCGGCTGTGCAGTAAGCGGACAAGGTCCCCGGGACAGCCAGGCTCGCTCCGCTCCCCGATGGAAACCCTCTCCCTGCACTTCTGCAAAGGTAATGAGGAAGTAATGAGGCTTGACCTGGGTGTGCTCAGCCCCATCCCCCCTCCCCTCGGGCTCCCGTAGGAGGCTTCTGGAGGAGCTGAGCCGCCCGGCTGGCCGAGTGAGAAGTTCAGATAAACCAGCCTCCCCCCCCCGCCCCCCCCCCCCCCCGGGCTGGCCGTGGAGCCCGAATAAGACAATCTGACGCTGTGCAGGCCCCGTCAAGCCGAGGACTGTTTGTTTTGTCACTTGATGGATACGGAGCCCTGACCTTTCCGGGCTACCTTGTCTCCAGCACCCCCTCCCCCGGGGGGCCTGTCCCCCACCCCCACCCCCATCTCCTTTGCAGGTTTGCCACAGTCAGCCGCGCAGTCAAACCAAAAAAGGTAGGCACGGGGTTGTTTGCGATCATTAGCTTAATTTGAGCTGAAAGGTCTTTGTTGTAAGTTGGGGAGGGGAGGGACCTCGGGGCCTCTGCAAAGTGTTTTGCTGGCAAGCTTGTTGAGATAGGGTTGCCTTTGTTGTGATAATCTGAAATTAATCTGTGCTTGAACCTATCTCTCTTCTGGGCTCCCTTTAAACGCGGTTGTAATTACGCGCCCCGCGCGGAACGGAGCCCGGCCCGCGACGACGGAGCCCAATTCCCCCGGCGCGGAGGCTTTCTTCCCTCACCTCGGAGGCCCGGAAACAAAACGTCCCCCCCGCACGTGCTCGGAGCCAGGTACTTGCCGGAGGGGAACAGGGATAATCAGTGTTCTGCCGCACAGTTTGCTGTCTGCTTTCTCAGGGGGTCAGTCTCGCTCTTTCCAAGCCGCCTTCAACTTCCGCGGCTCCTAGTTGACGCGAACCTGGGGCGTTTTCAGCACGCGGCAAGTGGTGTGGTTCCCCGTGTCAGCCGCTCCCCATCTGAGGCCGGGTCTCCCACACCCGCCGTCTCAGGTTTGGTCCCGGGTTTGGTGGGGACACGACAAAGGCCACCCCCCCCCCCCCGCACGACTGATCTGAGCCCAGCCCCGTCCTGCTCCCAGCGGGGGCGTCATATCCTTATCAGGCCCTCTGCCTTCCAACCCGCAGGACTGGCTTTTGGGAGGAATCTCATTAACCCCGTGGGGGGGGGGGGGTATCCCCTCCGCGTCACCTCCCGGATCGCCAGCGCCTGGAGGGCCTGCAAGGGACCTGTCCCTGAGGCACAGACCAGCCTGGAGCTCGGAGTAACTGTACCCCCCCCCCCAAGAGGGGTCCATCTAGATGCGCCCACTGCACCTCTGAAGCCTGCAGGCCTGAACCGGGGCCACTGGGGCCCCAGGTCCCCTCCTGCCCTTCCCCTCCTCTGCTCCCTCCCACCTCTCCCCTGCATCCACCCCTGCCCAACCCCCTCCCCTGCTCCCTCCTGCCTCTCTCCTGCCCCACACCCCTCCTTTACTCCTGGCCCCCTCCCCTCCCAATCCACTCCTCTCCACCTGCCCCTTCCCTGCCTCTGCACCCCTCCTCTCCCCCTGCTGCCCCCTCCCCAAGCCCCCTACCCCTGCCTCTCCCCTGCCCTCCACCCCTCCCCAATCCCCTCCCCCTCCCCAAGCCCTTTCCTGCCCTCCTCCCCACTCCCCAGCCCTCTCCTGTACCCTTCCTTCCCCTGATCCCTCCCACCTCTCCTCTGCCCCCACCCCTCCCCTCTTCCTGTCCCCTACCCCATCCCAGCCCCTCCATCATCCTCCCCACCTAACCTCCCTCCCTGCCCTTCCCCTCCCCTGCTCCCTCCTGCCTCTCCCCTGCCCTCACTCTT